AACTGTACCTTTAAATCTTTGTCTGATCAAGTATGGAAAAGATATTAATGTTGATAATTTGAAAACTGATTATTTAAATTGAGATTTCTTAGCGAAAGTGGCTTGCGCAATTGTACTGCAGGAAAACAGAATTAAAACTTTTAAGTCCAGAAAACAACAATATCTTCCACAGTATTGATCAGATAAAGTGTTCCGTTGTTAAAATGAAGCATTTTGGGTCATTTAAAAATACGTTTACTTTTTACTATTAAAAGGAAATTATCTGATGGGCGCAAAGCACCCTAAATTGGTGATATCTTTTAATTATCGATTAATATCTATGGTTTGGCCGTTGATATCATTCCACCGCAAAATTAATTCTTCAATAAAGAATAATTTAATAAACTCTAAATTCATTCTTTATAGTCGTGCAGCAATGTTAAACAATAAAATGTAATTAAATAATAACATTGTAACGAATTAATATGAATTGAATTTATTGGGAAGGATTTATTTTTTAAGGCAGAAACATCTATCATATTTATATACATCATCCATTTAATAAAGCTCTTCGTTCATATATATTTGCATGTTAGCTATAGCTAACCAAACAGCTGGATCGAATGAACTGAAATTGTTGAGGGAACCCTTGAGTAAACAAAGGCTAAAAAATTCGAAATATTTTTTCTTCAAAAATCTAAATATTTGTTTTCTACATTTTTTTCAAAATTCGATTTTAAAAAATTCCACAGGCAACGCCGGGCACTTCAGCTAGCATATCGCATATCGTATATCGTATATCGTATATCGTATATCGTATATTTAAAGTAAATACTAACTGAAGGGCCGCATTGCCCGTGAAAATTTTTTTTAAAAAATAACATATTAAAAAAAAATATTTCGAAACAAAAAATTTCGACTAGTTTTATCTTATAACACCCCCCGGCCATTCGGTCCAGCCGTTTGGTCGGCTATATGACAAGATATATATGTAAAGAAATGTCTTGTTTTATTTTATAGATCACTTAAGACGACTATCTGAAATTTATTAAGACTTACTTCTTATATTCTTGGTTTCCTGTTAAAAAAATATTTAAGGCAGAAAACAAAATTCAGCCTTCGATCTGAAGCTTTAGATCGTTAAAACTTTAAAGTTTTACTTGTATGTCGTTTTTTAAGTTTTATCCTAGGTTTTGTTAACCCAGTATTATGTCATAAACGTATACATTGCATCCTACATATTACACATATATTGATTATATAATAACGCTTTTCGCTCATATATATATATATATATATATATATATATATATATATATATATTTATAGAAATAGATAAAAATTCTCTCTGAACGGAGAGTGAGTAATCCCTTTAAAAATACTAAACCTAGAAATGTTCTACTCCAAAATTACAAGAAGATCAAGTTGTTAAAGTAAAGAAAATAAATGTGAAAACTTAGATTTAAATACAGATAACACAGATTGGACAAGATATGTAGATACAGTGAGGACCAGAAAACTCTGCAATAGGAATAAAACAATACTTAAGCTTTACATATTATAAGGTGTATGACCCAAAAACGGGTTATTTTTGATAAAAATGTCCTCATTACAACCGTTTTTGCCAGGTTTTTTTTTTTTGCACGATTACAACGTTTTTCAATTCAGTTTTACAAGACGGATCTTTTGATACCCATACAGTCTTATTTTGACCAACAAGTTTTTTTGCTTTCATTAATCACGTTGGTCAAATTTAATGCCATAAAAAACCGTTTTCGTCTGCGTAATATGGACTTTAGAGAAAACCCGTATTTTCCTATTACGGGTAAGTGAAGCAAGCAAAATTTCCAAAAATCGACCTCCCTTACTGTACAGAGTACAGTTGCTGTGTCTTACCATGTTCATTGGACTACTTAAAGTGACTTGAGTCTAAAAGTCGTCTTCCTATATCGTAATTTTCTGGTTCTCATTGTAGTTGTCATAAATCTGCTGAATAATTGGTTGTCTTTGTCTACCCCTTTATTAATTGTTTTCAGTAACCCTTAGTAATTTTAATCTGTTTCTGACGGTTTGAGAGCAAATGAAAACATTTAAAATTCTGTGTGTTATGCTCCAAACCTCACAGAGTCCACAGAGTAAAGAAATAGGTCTTTATATTTTTGAAAATATATTTCGGCCTGAATTGTGTTTCTAGTATTTGTTTCTGTCCTGAAGATTCAAAACACAAATATTGTCTAATAGGAACGTAAAACAGTAAATAAGTTTCTATATAATGAAACCCAAAAAACTATGGAATATAAAGACGACTCAATTTTTTATTTAAAAAATTCAAACAAATATGAGACACAACAATAAAGTGTAGTGTACACTAACCCATTTAATTTAGTAAGGTTGAATTTCAAGTTATTGGTCTTTTTTGGCTTTATAAAAACATCAAATACATATTAAATTCCTTTTAATATCGTCTTCCTATTCCACAGTTTAATGGGTCTCACTGTAGCTTCAAAACAATTATAAAGTTTTGTCCTTACTGTGTTATCTCTGTCCCGGAGTCTCTTAAATTCATTATATAAAATTTAGAAGAAGTATAGAAGAGAGCTGGTGTCCAATAAAGATGGTGCCAGCTGAAACTATGGAAAACTAGGATAAAGTTTTAATATTTAGAAATAACACAAAATACAGAATAGTTACAGGGGAGGAAAATTAAAGAAAAGAGGGAATGAAAGATAGAATGGGAGCTTGACAGTATGACGATAAAAAAAAAAAATAAGTAGGTAGGTAAGGTGAAATGAATTTAAGAACTATAATGGTTAAGAAGGAAAGATAGAATGGTAGGTAAGGTGAAATGATTTAAAGAACTATAAAGCATAAGAAGGAATAATAGAATAGTACGTAAGATGAAATTAATTAAAGAACTATATAGCATAAGAAGGAAAGATAGAACGGTAGGTAAGGTGAAATTAATTAAAGAACTATATAGCATAAGAAGGAAAGATAGAATGGTAGGTAAGGTGAAATGAATTAAATAACTATATAGCATAAGAAGGAAAGATAGAATGGTAGGTAAGGTGAAATGAATTAAATAACTATTAAGGTTAAGAAGGAAAGATAGAATGGTAGGATGAAAGGGCGGAAAGAAAAATGAGTGACGAAGTAACTGTTAAAAAGGTCTAAGAGAATAATAGAATGGAAGTAAAGAATAATAACGTAAGTATGAAGAGGAAGAAAGGAAAAAATAGGAAGTACACAAAAGAAGTCTGGAAAAAGAAAACACACAAAAAAAGTATTAAAAAAATAAGAAGATGATAATAAAGGACTTAGAGAAAGGAAGCAAAGATACTAAAATGAGTAGGGGAAAAAAGAATAATAAAAGAATTAAGGAAAGGAAGAAAGGGTGAAAATGGAAGTATGAAAGGAAAAGAAAGGAAAATAATGAAAGTATGAAAGGGAAGGAAAGGAAAATAATGGAAGTATGAAGGGGAAGGAAAGGAAAATAATGAAAGTATGAAAGGGAAGGAAAGGAAAATAATGGAAGTATGAAAGGGAAGGAAAGGAAAATAATGAAACTATGAAAGGGAAGGAAAGGAAAATAATGAAAGTATGAAAGGGAAGGAAAGGGAAAAAAAAGAAAGTATGAAAGGGAAGGAAAGGAAAATAATGGAAGTATGATAGGGAAGGAAAGGAAAATAATGAAAGTATGAAAGGGAAGGAATGGAAAATAATGGAAGTATGTAAGGAAGGGAAGGAGAGGAAAATAATGAAAGTATGAAAGGGAAGGAAAATAAAGGAAGTATGAAAGGGAAGGAAAGGAAAATAATGAAAGTATGTAAGGGAAGGAAAGGAAAATAATGAAAGTATGAAAGGGAAGGAAAGGAAAATAATGGAAGTATGAAAGGGAAGGAAAGGAAAATAATGAAAGTATAAAGAGGAAAGAAAGGAAAATAAAGGAAGTATAAAAGGGAAAAAAAGGAAAATAATGGAAGTATGAAATCGAAGCCTGGAAAATGGAAAAATTAAAAAAGAAATAAAAAAACAAAGAAAGGATTATATAAGAAGCATGAAAAGAAAGGAAAGGATAATAAAGGAAATATAAAAAAATGGACTAAAAAAATATAAAAAGAAGGGATAAATGATAATCAAGCCATTTCATTAGTAAATAGGAAAGAAATGAAAATGAAGAAACTATTAAAAGAAAGGAGAAGGTTAATAAAGGAAGTTTAAGAATAAAATAAAATAAAGGAGAGGAAGTAACAAAAAAAAGAAGTGTAAACAGAAAAGAATGAATAAGATGGGAAGTATGGAAAAAAAGAAAAGGAAAAAAAGGTAAAAAGGAAGGAAAGGATAGAAAAGAAAGTTTATAGAGGAAGGAAAGGATAGAAAAAGGATATGCATGAAGTAATTAAAGGATTGGAAAGGTGGTGTATGAAGGAATTAAAGGATATGAAAAGAAGTGTATAAAGGAATGAAAGGATAGGAAAAGAAATGTATAAAGAAATGAAATGATAAGAAAGGAAGTGTATGAAGGAATTAAAGAATATGAAAAGAAGTTTATAAAGGAATGAAAGGATATGAAAGGAAGTGTATAAAGTAAGAAAAAGTTAGGAAAGGAAGTGCAAAAAGAACAAAAGAACATGAAAGGAGGAATGAAAATGAAAAATTAAGGAAGTAGAAAAGCAAAAAACCTCAACATAATCTTATTGATTGTTAATTGTATTTACTATATTTACGACTACTGTAACCATTCAACTGTGGTTTTCTGTCTCTCATATTTTAAACCTTTAAGTCCTGCAGTGGTTAAAATCTAAACAGGGTTTCATTTTTAAATGGAAAACTTTTTAAACCTCCACACCCTTTGACTGAAAAATATAATCTGGGGTTGCATTAAATATTTTTTTGAGGGGGAAGTAAAATTTTAGGATTCCCCCTTCGTATCGGCCTGATAAATGAAACCCTGGAACGTGTGATTTTTGTTGAACATTGTTATCCAAATCTGTTGTAATAGATGCAGTTAGTTTGGAACAGATTAACAAGATGGTTGGAGTCATCTTGGTGAGTTTTTCAGATAATAGTTGTTATCTACAGGGTGGTTTGTTAAAATAAAGGTTCAAAAGGTACTATTGTGAATCAGGCATGTTATTTGGTAAATGAGAGATGCACGAAATGGAGTGTAGAGTAGGCGCCATAAATATTAGAATTGGGCCGACCAGGTGTTATTATATTGCAATCAAAGAAAAACTATAAAATCGTTAATATCTGATCAGACGAATTTATATCGGAGAAATTAGAACATGGGCCCCAAAATATCGGAGAAATTAGAACATGGGCCCCAAAATATCGGAGAAATTAGAACATGGGCCCCAAAATATCGGAGAAATTAGAACATGGGCCCCAAAATATCGGAGAAATTAGAACATGGTCCCCAAAATATCGGAGAAATTAGAACATGGGCCCCAAAATATCGGAGAAATTAGAACATGGGCCCCAAAATATCGGAGAAATTAGAACATGGGCCCCAAAATATCGGAGAAATTAAAACATGGGCCCCAAAAAATTCTAAAAGAAAGTAAAACCTCACTCTCTGTGAAATTCAATGCTGAAACTAGATTTGAAATCAATTTTTTTAAAATATTAAAAATGCACAAGTAAGGTAAAAAACTGCCCAAAATACTGTTTTTTTCAACTTTTATACTGTAGTTTATGGTAAGTTTGTTCTAAAGCTCTTAAGTTCTCAAAATTGAATCCAGAATAGTTTTAGAAAACTCACATGTTTTAAGCTTTGCAACCTGATGGTGTAAACCTTTAATATTTCAAACTTAGATTATTTGATTTAACAGAATTAATAGTTTAAAATATTTAAGGTCTACGACATCGGGTTGGAAAGATGAAGAAATTAAATAGTTAAAATTTGTTGCAAGAGCTTAAATGCTTTTCAATTGTTTATCATGTCAGTTTTGAAATTCTTTTTAGGCCTATTTAATTAGTTCTCCGATGTTAAATGCTCCTCTTTTTAGAATGATTTATTTTTCATTGAAATATTTCTTTTTAGGTCATGCACATTAAAAAAGTTCCTAAAAGATTTCCAAAAGATTTAAAAACCAACAAGAAAAAGCTTAGTTTTTTTTCAAGACAAAAACACAAAAAAACTTTTTTACATTAATAAAAATATAGTGTTTTGGTGCATCTTTACATTCTGCCGATTTGACGTTTATTTGATTAAAACAATAAGACAATACTAAATATATATATTTAAAGGGTGGTGCAGTACTAATCTAATAATTCAACCATGAACACAGTTTACCAAGTGCATTAAATAACAGTTCCATGGGAAGTAGGAACCCCACCAGTTCTAATCTTAGTTCACATATATCCGTATACAGTTGATATATTGATGTTACATTAACTCCATTGTCCAACAAATTGCAGGGTGTCCCGTTAATGTTTAGACATTCCATATTTTACAAAATTTGGCAGTTTAGGACAGTTAAAACTTTATTTGTTGTGCTTCTTCAATTTTATAATGTTTTCACTTAATATGCATGGTGTCCATAAATATACACAAAGAAATATTTATACTTGGGGACACATAATTTACATGTACGTACAGGGTGTTTTTGAAAAAGTGTTTTTTTGAGAAATAAAAAAATCAACCAAAAAATAGAAAATCGTTCAATACTTCATTTAAGCTATTTGAGAAACTTTACGGAAATAATGGATAAACCTACAAAAAGGTGAAAGAACGCAAAGTTTTCTCTCCAAACCAATAAAAAGGTATTTTAGAAAAAAGTGTTTTTTTAACTTATAAAGAAAAGTAAAATTTAATTCCCTATATAAATGTAAAATAATTTATTAAATCTATGCTAATATACATTTGTAAAAATATCCTAGTTGATGTCTCCATGACTGCAGCCACATTGGCTTTCCTCTCAAATTAGTACCTATATTCTGTTCTACAAATCTTTTTTAAAGAGAACACAACGTTCTTCTTACGTCTTTTTGTTGGATTATTCATCTTTTTTTTAATAGTTTTGCAAATGGTTAGTTTTAAAGAAGTATTTTTTTGTGGTTTTTCATCTTTCCCTTAACTTAACGAAATAAAAATGGAACTTTTTCAAAAACAATCCGTCAAGGGGATTAGTATAATTATTAATTAAACATTTTTGTGTAGTTGTTCCTGCTCATAAGAGGTGTTCCGGCTCAGGAAGAATTTAAATTAGATCAAAAACTCTTTTTAGAGGAGGTTCCACCTAGTTCCATTGAACATCAACCCTCTCCCAACTTAGAGCAGGTTCCAGCTAGTTCCATCGAATATCAACCCTCTCCCTTCTTTGAGCAGGTTCCAAATAGCTCCATTGAACATCAACCCTCTTCCTTCTTAGATCAAGTTCCAGCTAGCTCCATTAATCATCAACCCTCTTCCTTATTAGAGCAGGTTCCAGCTAGTTCCATTAATCATCAACCCTCTTCCTTCTTAGAGGAGGTTCCAGCTAGTTCCATTCAACATCAACCCTCTCCCTTCTTAGAGCAGGTTCCAGCTAGTTCCATTAATCATCAACCCTCTCCCTTCTTAGAGCAGGTTCCAGCTAGTTCCATTCAACATCAACCCTCTCCCTTCTTAGAGCAGGTTCCAGCTAGTTCCATTCAACATCAACCCTCTCCCTTCTTAGAGCAGGTTCCAGCTAGTTCCATTCAACATCAACCCTCTCCCTTCTTAGAGCAGGTTCCAGCTAGTTCCATTCAACATCAACCCTCTCCCTTCTTAGAGCAGGTTCCAGCTAGTTCCATTCAACATCAACCCTCTCCCTTCTTAGAGCAGGTTCCAGCTAGTTCCATTCAACATCAACCCTCTCCCTTCTTAGAGCAGGTTCCAGCTAGTTCCATTCAACATCAACCCTCTCCCTTCTTAGAGCAGGTTCCAGCTAGTTCCATTCAACATCAACCCTCTCCCTTCTTAGAGCAGGTTCCAGCTAGTTCCATTCAACATCAACCCTCTCCCTTCTTAGAGCAGGTTCCAGCTAGTTCCATTCAACATCAACCCTCTCCCTTCTTAGAGCAGGTTCCAGCTAGTTCCATTCAACATCAACCCTCTCCCTTCTTAGAGCAGGTTCCAGCTAGTTCCATTCAACATCAACCCTCTCCCTTATTAGAGCAGGTTCCAGCTAGTTCCATTGAACATCAACCCTCTCCCTTCTTTGAGCAGGTTCCAGATAGCTCCATTGAACATCAACCCTCTTCTTTCCTGGTGCAAGTTCCAGCAAACTCCATTAATCATCAACCCTCTTCCTTCTTAAAGCAGGTTCCAGCTAGTTCCATTAATCATCAACCCTCTTCCTTCTTAGAGCAGGTTCCAAATATTTCCATTGAACATCAACCCTCTTCCTTCCTAGAGCAGGTTCCAGCTAGTTCCATTAATCATCAACGCTCTTCTTTTTTTGAGGAAATTGGCTCCACAGAACAAAATTCTTCCCCCTTTCCTGAGCATATTACAGCTGGAATAGCACAACAACAACCTTCTCCCCTCCTTGAGCAAGTTACAGAAGAACAGTCTATAATGCTCCTTCCTGAGCATGTTGCAGATAGCTCCTTGGCACAACAACTATCATTCACAAGTGAGAATGCACAAGCTAGTTCCACAGAGCAGCAACAATATCAAATAGATGAATTAAACAAGAAACCATCCCTCACTGTCAAGAATGTCCCAGTCAACAACTTCTCCAATGTTGATGCTATCAGTCAAGAGGATCTAATTGAAAATAATCAGGTGAACAGATAGCATAATTGTATAGTGCAATTGTAATTTCAAATAATAGACTTTAAGTAATTAGTTGTCAATGAAATCTAACTGAACTTTCTTTATTTTGATAGGCTCAGAAAACAACAGATAACAAACTCTTGGAACATGAGAATATTTTAACAAAATCCAAAAACTATCAGAGATTTGTAATGGGTGCCGAAGCATTAGGTAGGTTTTTGATCAGATCATGTTGTTTTACGATTTAAAGCAATATATTTCTTAATGCAAAGGTTCAGTACAAAAAAATTGCTTACTCTTTCTCATAGAGGCAGAATATTTTGTAGTAAACTCTTTATTTTAGATAAGAGTTTCAAACTTGATAGAGGTTCCCCCTTAGCATCTGACAACTCTGATTCTAAGATTAGACTTACTGCTGTTGATAATAGAACACCTAGGAAGATTTCTTCACAAGATCGTAATCCATCCTTAGCCAGTAGATCTTTAAAATCAAAGCTAACCAACACAGAGTTTCTGTCAGGGGATGGAATAAATGCACCAGTTCCAAGATCTACAACTTTATCCAGCATATTTACTGAGGAATCAGACCTTCCAGTACTTGAGCAGAAAATATTTGCTCGCCAGGTTCCAGAGCAAAGACGAAGAAGACCAGTGAAGGTGGAACAAGATTTGGAAGAAACTAGTAGCCGGATACTTCCTGCACCAATTCTTAGGGCCAGAAAAAGAATAAACAAAACTAGAGTTGGTGCATCAGCAAACACTGATTCAGAAGTCTCCCCAGAAACATCATCACCAGCAGAGACAATTTCCGATGATAATACATCTGATGATAACCATGAAGTTGACAGACTATTTAAAGTGGAGTCTATTGCCAGAATTCCTGATAAGGAGAGGATGAAAACAAGATTAAACCAAGATGAGACACAATCTGAAAATAATGATCAGTTTCTTCAAATTCCCATTGAAATATTGATTCAGAAAACAAAGAATGTCGGCTCTTCGACTAAAAAGTTGCAAGACAAAAGTCCAAAAAACATCAAGGAGTGTCCTGAAATTTCTGAAAGAGCAGCACTTGAAATTGAAGAATTAAAAAACAGGACAGACCTTAATATACAATATGCCAATGAGAAGCAAATAGAGATTCAATACTTGCAGGTTGAAATAGAAGCTTTGGAGAATGAAACCTTTGTTTTTGAGCAGAAAATTGAAGATCTTGAAAATGAAATATATAACCTAAGAGAAGATCTGAATCTGAAAGAGGAGGTGTTTAATGCTACCAAAAATGAAAATATACAAGTTCTCATTAAACTTAATAAAACTTTATTAGAAAAAGATGAAACGATGATTGAGATTCAAAAGTCAGCTGAACTATTTAGTCTAGAAAAGAGAGACCTTGAGAAAACTATCCAGGGTCTAGAGAAAACAAACCTAGATTTGCAAGCCAAGAATACGGAACATTTGTTAGAAATTGAAAAAATTGACGAAGAAAAGAAGGATCTGCTTAAAATTGTCCAACAACTTGCAATAATTGGAAAAAATATCTTGCCTGTAGATGACTTAGAAAATCTTGAACGAATAACCAGAGCAAATACTATACTTTACTATACTCCAGCTGATAATAATTCTGCTATTTATGTCAAGAGTGACACTATCAATGAACAAGGACATCTTGAGACTACCCCAGGACTAGATCTAGGGGATTTTAACCTAGAATTAGACTTTACAACAGAAGCATTTGGTTCTAACCAGGAAAACTCAGATCAAATTGACTATTCAACAACCCCAGCATTTCTTGAAGCTGATCCAACAAATGACTACTCAGGAATCGAAAACACTGTTTCTCAAGCAAGCATATGGAATCAGGGAATCCAAGCTGAAATGGAATCAAACCTTGAAAATGAGATTAGACAGGAAAGACATAATGCTGGGTTAGATGTAAAACTGGAAAAGTCTGTAATGGAGACTTCATCACAAGAAATGATTTGGGAGGAAGATCTTCGTGCAGAAATGGAATCTTCTCTTTTAAATGCTGTAAGATTAGAAAGACATAACTCTGGCCTGGATATAAAACTAGAAAAACCTAATGAGGAGTCTTTGGTACAGGAAATAAGATCGGAAGAGGGCATTCAGGATGAAATGAAAACGTCATTAGAAGAACAAATGAGAAAAGAGAGGTACAACTCTGGACTAGATGAAATGTTAGGAAAGATGGATGACCCTCTGATTCAGACAAATATCTGGGAAGAAGGAATACAAAATGAAATGGAATTTTCTCTTTTAGATGCTGTTAGACTAGAAAGGTATGATGCAGGACTAGATGCTAAATTAACAGAAAATGGAGAAACATTGACACAGCAGTTAATCTGGGAGAAGGAAATTCAATATGATATGGAATCATCTATACTGAATGCAATTAGGTTGGGAAGGAACAATGCTGAATTAAGTACAGTATCTGAAGATAAGGGTTGGGATAAAAAAATACAAAATACAGATAATTTGGAATATAATGAACCTGATCTAGAATTGGTAGAAGAATTGGAGTTTGAGATGGACACAGACACAGGAACAGAATCGGAAACAATATCAGAGCAACATTTGGAGCCAGAATATATATTAGAATCAGACCCGATCTGGGAGAAAGATTTGGAAACAGAATCTGAAACCCAATGGGAAACAGAAATGACCACAGAATTGAACCAAATTTTTTATTCTGTATTGGAATCAAGATCCACGGAAAACTTAAAAACTCGGAATAAAACTGAATTTGATTCAGAGTTGGGAACAGAATAATATTAAAATTTCAACCTAAATTAGAATCCGTTTGTTAAATGCAAATAGAAGCAAATGCTGAAAAACTAAGTTTTGCAATTTCCGCATTTAATTTTTCTACATTGTTAACAAAACTCTAGCCTGAAAGGGGTTGTCCTCAAAAGCATAATACACTCTACAATTAATTAAATTCAAAGTGTAGAATTATCTGAATTTAAATTTTTTTGCTTAACAGGAGAAAAAAGCTCAATCATTTGTTAGTTGAATATTACTGAACCTAAAAATCTTAGATATAAATTGAAAAAACCCATATTGAAATGTAGCTTTAGAGGACTGTTAGGGTGATTTCAAGTGAGCATGCATGAATATCTGATTAACAATGGTACCCAATTTTTATCTGATCAACAATGTGAAATATTTTGTGGTTAGTCTATAGGTTCAAAAGTCTTCAATTCTCATCATTCCTAAATGTTTTCCTGCAGTAAAAATGCTTAATTGTTTGTTTTGTAGAAAAATAACAATTTAAAAAAATCAATTTTCAAAATCAAAGACGTTGATTTCTAAATCATACTTGATCAGACAATAGTTTGAAGGGTACCACTGTGAATTGGGCAGCAATGTCGTCTTTGCATGAAGTGTCACTTACTTGTATAAATGCATAAATGCAGTCTCTTTAATGAACAAAACTGGATTCGGGCATTCTTGAATATTCGCAGAATTTATTTCAATGTTACAAAATGTTTTGGTTTTAGTTAATGCAAGCAATTATGCTTAATGCTCAAAGATAAAGACGATTATAAAAAAGTTAATATAGAACTTGTATTTACCAAATGTATCAATATTTTAACTCACCAAAATTATTGTAAATATTAATCCTCAATCTGCATTTTTAGTCTTGTTTAACATATATTTGTGATATTGTGTAGTTTGTAATTAATAAAAAACTAAACTGTTCAATTAATTGCAATGACAGTTTGAGGATTAAAGCAGACAGGCCCGTGGGTAGAGGGGGGCACAGGGGCACATGCCCTCCCCATTTTCACCCTAAGGGTACCCCCCCCCCTCCTCGGCAAATTATCCGAGACAAAAATAAGAAAAAAGGAAAAAAAATAAACGAAAAATGAAAAGAAAAAGGGGGAAAACATTTGTAAAATTAAAATTTGTGTTACCATTATTATGTGTTAAGGATCATTTATTGCTTCAACATAAAATATTTTGGAATTTTTATTTCTATCCTGTCTTATGATTTGATGGGTTTAATGGGTGATGAATCATTGAGTTCATGTTTATTTTGTCACTGATATGCTGAAGAAGGCAAAGCAAAGAATTATATTATTTCTTACGAAGTATCTCAAATTCTCAAAACGAAGAGAGAAATATACGAATTCTTTAGCTAAACTTGACTTCGCAATCAATTCAGTGGAAAAAGAAACAAACTGCATTTGGTCAGTGTCTAAAAAGCGTTTGCAAGAGGAGGACGGAATTTACCTACCCACCCACCCTGTAAATTCCTTTTATTCAAATGAAGTTTCAAATGAGGGGTTTTCATTTTCTTATTCATGCGTTAATTTTGTAAATGTTCGGTTTCAAATAAGTGTTTTAGTGCTAATTGATGTTGGGGTTAACAAAAGAATCAAATAATGTAGAAGATTCCAATGACCTTAATTGTAGTTATTGCTGGAACCTCAGAAAGCTAAATGAATATCAAAATTTTTTAGCCGTCCATTTCCTTGGCGTCCACAGTATTAAGTTTGCCATGTTGCAATCGTAGGACGGATTATTCTAAGCCTGGCGTGTCGCCATTATTCAATAAGTCTGGCTTGTCGCCATTATTCTAATAAGTCTGGTGTGTCGCCATTATTCAATAAGTCTGTCGTGTGAGGGAGGGAGTCCAGAGTTCCTCAAATAGTAATCACCGCCACCCAAATCTGTTTTGCGGGCGCGCTCCTCATGGGTAATCTCCACCACCTCAATAAGTAATCACCGTCAAATTTTGTTTTCTGTGATTTGAATTTAATGCACTTCTAACACAATTTTCGACATCTATCGGCCGGGGTTTTATGGCATCTGTATTGAGTTCAACATCTACAACAAAACTAATTATATATCGTTCACTATAGGACAGACCCAATGCAAACGATACGGACTATACGACACCCTGCAGACTGGCTGGATTTCAGAAATAATAAACGGTGGTAAATGTCGTCTTAACTTTGATTAAAATTGATAACGGCGCATCTGCGCAGACTTAAGTCAGAGGGAGAGAAAGAGAGAGAATATATTTTGGCGGACTCCACAGTCCACTCCACTCTTAACTCCGTTCTGCTGCCTCAGGTGTCCAGATGTGATTAACAATATTTGATTAATTAATTTTGGTTTGAGCGTTTTCACGTTAAATTTGTATGACGTCGACGAGACTCCTGTCTTATTTTTGAAACTCAGTCAGTTACATTTGTACTTTTGGTTGTTAAATTATTGTGTATTTCAGAAAAATTAAAAATTTTATTTTTAATTTTATATGACGAGACTCATGTTTTATTTTGAAACACTGTTAGTTAAATTTGTACTTTGGTTGTTAATTTATTTTGTATTTCAGAAAAATTAAAAATTTGTTATATTTATGGAGAATAATACTCAAAATTTTTTTAAATTTTATATGACGAGACAATTGTGTCTTATTTTGAAACACTGTTAGTTTCATTTGTACTTTGGTTGTTAATTTATTTTGTATTTCAGAAACATGACAGCTCCAGACAAAAATGAAGAAAGCTTAAGGAAATATTTGAGATTAAATAGTTGCTGAAATTAAAATGTTTTTAGTAGAACCATGTCTTCAAGAGCTACAATGCTAGTGTGCACTAAGAAGCAGATTGTTAGAAACCGGTTTATATTGCTTCTTAGTATAATTAGACGTAGGGTCCGTCCTAGTATACGATATTTGAGCCCCCCCCCCCACTTAATATCAATTTTGTACATGACCACATGACCAATTATATCCATGTGTTACATACACGATGAATGTACAAACATTAATGGGGGGGAGGGGGCAAAAATCGTGCTTAAAGAAAATACCAAATGTATTTTGTACATAGCACGAAAGCCATACATTTTTTTCATGTGGTTTATTATAAGAAATAGTTAGTTATCTATGAAATAACGCATTTTGTGCTGTCGTTATTTCGTAATCGCAATTTCTTTGAATAGGATTATTTGCCACCCCACCCCTCCCTTTCCCCCCTCCTATAAACTTTGTGCATGCTTGACATGTTGAAATATAGATAAAAAGCGTGCACAAAAAAGATTTAAAGAATGGTGTACTAAGACTGAACCGCAAATGTTTTTAATTACATTAGACACAGGCTGGTCAGTAAATAATTAAGACATTAAGCTTCGAGTAAGGGGGGAGGGGGGGGGTTTAATGCGAAAAAGCTTAACCTCTAACTTGCGCAATTTTTAAATCGTTATTCTTCCTTGAAATCTCGAGTTTAGTGAGATGTTTGATCGAGGTCTAGGATTACAGGAAGAAATTGAGAATTCACCAGGGAAGTAATATTCTTCTAGTCCGCATCCTGGGACTAGAATTAATGAACAATGGCTGATATTAGACTAAGATAAACCACTCTTGTGCGCCGGGTTTGGATCAAGAGAAGTTGTCTATTAAGATCAATATTTTACCCCTTTTCATTTAATTGGTCTTGAAGCTAAATGTTGGTTCAGGGGCAACTATTTTCTTCTAAAATTTCTATTCCCCGACAAAATGAGGAGTAAATGGTTTTTTCAAATAAGAGTGAGGCAGCTAATTCTTGAAAATATACCCCTGTACTTGATATATTGTTGAATATTAAGATAGTTATAAAAATATTTTATTTTATAATTTGTCAAATAATTTTTTGTCTCAAAATATATTTGAGTAACGACTACTTACATACATTCGACAATTGAAAGAGTATAAAATAGCCAAGCTTGTTATATTTTATATATCATTTAACTATTTACAAGAATTCCAGTCTTTTAATTTGAGGTGTCATACTTTTAACTTTGAGACTTCTCTCTTTTTAATATTATTTTGAAGAATATTATTTATAAAGAACCTTCAAATTCTCCCGAGTATCAGAATAAAGTTAAAAAAGGTAATTGAATTTCATTTTTAAATATACCAAGTGCCAAATCAAATTAAGTTTATTGCAATGAAACCCTGGAGTGCAATAAAGTTTGAGTATCTATGGCTATTAGTCTCATGGGGGTGGAGGGTGGACAAGTGATATTAAAATTATATTTCCCCACAAACACGTTGGGAACCAAGATAAATGGGAAAATACTGTTTTCTTTTACCCCCCCCCCCCTCCACACCCACTTCAGAGCCGCTTATTTTTGATGAAAATTAAATATGGGGGGAAATTATTTTACGAGTGGAACCTTTTTATTGAGCACCTTCTAAAATTCAAAATATCCACTTTCACACTTTGCTTCTCGAAGAAAGATATTTGGGAAAAGTCCAAAGTTAATTATATATCTATTTTAATGAAACCTTCGAGTGCAATAAATATAGATTAAGTGCACTGTAAAGGCACATGAGGGGTCACCAGCCCCGGGGGGGGGGGGGGGGATTGTTTATGTCAAAAAATCACCCACCTCCTTCCTCTGGATGGGGGAATGGAATGGGAATTGGGATTTTTTAATTCAATAACTTTTTTACTTCGAAAAAGTTTAAGATTGAAATTATAAGTACACTTTTTATTAATTATTTACTAGCTGCCCGTGAAAAAAAAAATGAAAAAAATATAAAAGTTATTTAAATAAAAAATCGATTTTTAAACCTCACAGCCCACCAATGAGCGTCCACAAAAAATGTCAGCCCAATTGGTCGAGCCGTCTTGCCGGCTAAACGATTACGCAACAGTTATATGAATGTCTTGTTTTATTATATAGACAAAAGATCAGATATTCTGGTTTATCTGGAGGGAAGGACCAAACAAAATGTGTAGAAGAAAAAATTATTAATTCTTTGGGAAATGTCAGAATTTCTAGAGTGAAAGTGTCTAACAGATGTAAGATATGTTTGTTCCCCCCACCCCTCCCTCCCGCTTTGTTTCCCCCCTACCACCCCTCCCTCCCGCTTTGTTCCGCCCCCCTTGCTTCTATATATTATCGTTTAGGAATCCTTATTCTTGAAGATGCTACACGATTTGTCTCAAGCTTAGATCTTTTTTCCAGGTAATACAGAGAAACTAAATTTAAAAGATTAGATTCATGAACCAACGAATAGCTTTATTAATAAAAACAATAACAACAACAAAAATTCGCGGATTTCATAATATTTGTTCGCGCATTTTCAATATTTTACAAAAATAAAAATCTCTTGAACACAAATTTTGTAATTTTGAGCATTCATAAAGCTTCCCTGGGGTTATAATGAGCAAAATTTGGACACGATCGGTTCATTCATTTTCCTGCGCCTGGAGGCGATCCGGGGGGTTCATAGCGGGGCCTCTTTTCCATATTTCATTTCCTTATGTTCCCTTATTGGACACAAACAAACAGACAGACAAGCAAAGTATATAGATAGATTGATTAATAATAAACAGAAAACCAAAAAGAAGCAAAAAGAATTTTACGTTTTCGTTGAAATAGTAATTCTTTCTTATTTTTAAATTATTAAAACTTACTTAAATCTGTTCCCAGTTGTTTTTGACATTTAAAAACATCATACAGAAAACATTTTATGATGACATTTTTGCTGGCTTTAGAAGTATATTGAAGGTTTCGGTTTTATAGTGATTGCTATTTCAAGAAAGTTGAATAACTTTTTAACATATTGCATTTCCTTTATATAAAAAATATTTACCTTAATATTTTATTTTTATAAATTTGTTCATCGCATTCGCATTCACAAGTTTCATTGTTAAATCTTCCTCGACAGCTTAGTGAAGATATATGCTTTGTTTGGGATCCATTTCATTCTGATGCGGATCCGGGTCCAGGCCATAAACCATTTGATTTTTTTAACCAAAGAAAATTTTCCATTTGTTTTCGCTTATTTTTATGCTAAAACTTGATGACCATTCAGGGATAAGGAAGTTTTTTGTAAACTCTCTTTTAAAAAAAATATAAGTTTTGGGTTTTTGAAAAAAAAAATATTTTTTTAGTTTTTGGTTGATTTTTTTTGGATCCGGATCCAGAAATCCAAAATATTGCGGATCTTACTGAGCACCGGATATTGGAAAGGGCAACTTTTGTCGATTTTAAAAGTATTGTAGACTGGCTAGACAGAAAAAAAATTCAGACAAAAAGGTTTGGTAAAAAACGTGAGACAAAAGTAAAAAATAATAGATCAGAAAAAAGAACAAACGAATAAAAAATGGTTAACGAATTCGAGTTGAAGAAAATTTATTGAAAATAAAAACGCAAAATAGTGTGCAACAAAATAAAAATATCTTTTACACTTATCATATCCTTGTATCCATTAAACACTGATATTACGTTCTATGAGAGAAGATTAAATAATTATTTAAAATTCCAATTTTTTAATAAAAAAAAAACATTTTAAACAATTTTGTTATTATAATTCTTACATTTTGTCAATGCTTGGTTCCGAATTTGAATTCAGAATTAACGCACCGCTTCAATGTGTTACAAATACAAAATATTTTTGTTTAGAAATGAGAACTATAAAGAACTTGAAACAAGTCACCTGAAATACTTCCTGCTTCCTGTTCTCCTAGCTGACCTTAACTCAAGGTTAACCTTGTCACCTGTTTGTACTCTGCATAAAAACGATTCAAAGGACTTTTAAAGCCTTTTTTGGTCACCCTTTAAATTTGTCACCACGTAGAAATTGTGCTTTAAAAACTTTAATTGGAAGACAAGGTTGGTAGGCTTACAGAGGGAGAGAGAGAGAATATTGTGGAAATCTGTCAAATATATTATATAGACTTTCTTACCAGGTAATATAGACCAAATTTAAGATTTCATATATTTTTGTGCGCAACGCGCCAAGACAAGGTTGGTTAAGGGGGTGGAAGCGGGTAGGAAGGGGGTAGGTAGTTTAGACAAAATTACCTCTGAAATCACTGCAGCTTTTTTTGCTTAAGTTTTAATTCCTACGACAATTCTAAGTTATGTTTAAACACTGTTTAAATTTTCCGGAGAGTAATACGTTTTGTGGCCCCCCCCCTTTAAAATTCTATTTACATTTACATTTTATTATTTTGTTGAAACCTTAAAATTTTTCTGCGCAGAAATTTACCGTTTTGGATTACATGTTTCTAAACATCAAGTTTCCTTCTTTATAAAGTAAACATATTTTTTTTTAATATGAGAATAATCAATTTACTAAAAAAGGTATTTTTATAGAACGAACGACTACGGGTTCGGAGATGTACGGATTCCTGTTCTGAAAACCATGAAGAAGGAAGGGGATCAGGAGGGATCAGAGGATCATCAAACCAAACCCGGATCCAGGATCCCTGATCTCAATAAAATGAACTCTGAACGCGAGGAGAAAATGGCTAGATTCAGGTCTGCTGCTTTAATCAAATATTTGTATAAATAACGGGATATGAGGGTGAATTGTCAAGTATTTTTGTATGTCCGATTCACTGCGGTACTTTTTTTTCATATTGTTTCTGAGGTTTATTCTGTACGTAATTTATTTAAGAAATCACAATTAAAGACAATTGTTTTTCAGAGTGATCGTTCACAGAGGTTTAAAGGGTCCGATTGTGAATTTTGCATACCATTGAGGGTTGTGAATTGGACATGCCACCTAGGGTTACTTGAAATCACAACTGCCTGTCCCTTTAAGCGTATATGTAGGGGTCCATATTATTCCATCCAATACGTTCCCAAATGTTAATTAATTGATATTTCGGGCAGAAATTCAATATGTTGTAAACAATTGGAAGTATAATGTCAAGTTGTAGAAAAAATCCAGACTGCAGAATGTATACTGCAAGGGAGTAATTATATTTCTCTGTATCAAAATTTATCTCCTATATTGATGACTGATTTTTACATTTTTAACATTTCAAATGCAGTACACATTTCTGAAGTGTAGTACACGTACACAAGTTCACAAAGACACAGAAAGTGTATTTTCAGACCCAAAATGTACTTGGATCAGAGATGTTATTATATGGACCCCGGCATATATGTCGTTTCCGTATTAAGAAACTACAGACAAGCCAAATTTATATATAGATAAACGTTATTACGTTTTCGACTTCATTTAATTTTTTATTCTTGAAAGGGAAAAAACGTAAATAACGCTGTTAACTGTACTCTCTGTACTAACTTTATGCAAGCGTACTTTTTTTTTTCTCAATTACCATTAAATATTTAGAGTGGAGAGTAACATCCAGTATTTTTCTTTTATAAAGTTTTTTTACCCCTTTACTTCACAATAAGGGAGATCAATTTAGCAAATTCCACTTTCTTCACTCAGAATAGCCTACATATTGGATATTAAATCGTTTTTAAGAAGGACGTTTTTCTTTCAAGTCAATATTGTGCTGACCAAAACCGGTTTTAAGACGACTGAATTTGACCTTAGCGAAAAAAAAACCGGTTTTAAGTAGTACAATTTTTGTTAAGAGTCCAAAAGTGTGCATGCCTTAACTTGACCAATTTTCACAATATCGAAAAAACTTGAAAATGTACCGTAATCAGCGGCCTTTGACGGATCCTTAGACACACAGATAAGCATGCCCCGAGGAATTTCTTCTTCTTAACTAGTGGTTAAAAAAATAATTTCTGAAAGTTCTTCAAATTGTTATGCTGCATACAAATCTGGTTGAAATCGAGTAGGCTAGTATCAAACTAACACCTAGCAAGGTTTTTCAAAGTTTTAATCTCATATTCGTTGAAAGAAATTCTATTACAGAAGAAATAGTTAGAAAGCATACATGATAGGTTTTTATTTTTTGATGATGTAAAAAGGTAAATGTAATTTGATTTATGTATTCTATATGTTTCTCTTGTTTTGTCTTTATACATAATATTATCTAACAAGAATTCTGACACTACAAACGTAGGGAATCAGGAG